CTGAGGGGGCAGTGACCAGTAAAATCATGACTGGGTGGGATGTATTAATCTCCTCCCTTCCCTTCACAAACTGTTAAAACAGATGAGATAGCAACTAGTTGTGTAACATATCTTGTACCTTCAGAGGGAGGTCAGCTTGTGCCTCGGCTGCATGCTGTAGACTGCAGGTTGGGGAATCTGAGGGTAAATAAATACTCATCCTACCATAAATAACTCCCTGTGACAAAATTAAGTGTGGTTAAAGTAGAACTGTTTTCCCTGATACTGGCTTCTCCAAGCTGGTTTCCTCGAGTGTAAAGTTCCAGTGTCATGAGGGGAAAAATGTGTCTGGAATCCTTGGGTAGAGCGTGATGGTGAGAAGGTGAAGGTTACAGCAAGGCAGGGGAGAAAAACATCTGGGAGAAGATGGTGCTTTCTGGCTTAGCATCAGGTCAAGCCAATTCCCCACCCCATTTCTGTTGCACAGCAAAGGATTACTTCTGAGGGGGATCTCTGCCTCAGCAGTTGTAGGACAAAAGCCTGACCATCGTGGAAGGTGCTGGATTAATGGTCAACTCATTTTTGTTAGACTATCCTGACTAGGTCAAAATATGTGGACCCCATCCTTAAAGCATTGTCATGTGGATTCTTGAGATAATGCTTCACTTGGAACACTCAAGAAGCATTACTTGCCGTTGTTCCCATGGTCATCAGCATTGGAACTAGATTGCTGCTTAATTGTCCTTTGCACAATTTCTGACACTTTGCTGATCAAGAAAGTATCTCTTAAACTTGGCACTCAGATAAAGTGCTCTGTGGTTTCTCTTTACAAACAATCAAATGCAGTGTTATATTGGAACAATGGGTGCTACTGGTGCTGATCGCCTTTTGGAAATCTAGTGTGTTGTTTTCCTAAATACTTCAGTTTTCACCAATCTGGAAAAAAATAGCATGAAGTGATCATTCTAGGTAGCGCCGGGAACAGATTTGTCTTTTAATATTTACTACATATAATGCCCCAAGAGAACATCAACAACAAAACCAAAATCATGTGCCCCTAATGCAGTATTTGATGTTGGCCACAGTATTATTTTAAATAAAGTAACTTTGAACATTGTAGTATTGCAAACTCTAGTTTAGTCTGGATAATTTAGTCTGGATTTAATCAGTTTATTTATGTTCACAGAAGTTGTAAATACAATTAGCTCTTTGACATTTGATCAAGGTCTTTGGTAGAGTTCAGGAAAGACTTACCCAAACTAGATTTTACTCCAAAATAATTCTTAGGAAGCTGACTAAATATTTCTTTATTTGCATTAAAAAGCATTTTTCTGTTTTGGAATTCAGAACTTATTCTCTTCTTAGTACTTAGGTTCTTGAGCAAGTCACTTTTTTAATATCACCAGTCTGCTTTCTGGGAAATGATTTTTTTTGTGACTGGCCATACCCACCCAGGCAGCCATTTTATGAATGGGTGAGGTTCCCCCCCTCCCCACAGCAGACATTTTTTGAGAGCTCCCTCAACCTTGCCTCAGAATTTAAAATGTGCCCACTGGCTGAAAAATATCGGTGACTGAGCTTTCCTCATTGTCTCCGTCCCTGTGGAATAAATGAGAGGTATTTGTGATCTCTTGTTGGATGGCATTTTCAGGAAACACCTGTGGGACATTTTTGTGTGGGACAAGGAAAAGTACTTGCTGCTGGCAAGCAGGTGAGTGGATTTACGAAGTCAGTTTAACTGTCTTTAGCTTCTTTTACAGTGTCTTTGAATGTTTGTTCAGAGAGAGCTTTGGCTCCAGAGCTACCTGGGAGAGAGAATGACTGTTAAATGAATTTATGTTTTGAGTAGATCTGCTTGTGGGCTGCTTAGGCTTGTCTAACTTGGAACCCCTTCCAAAACCTGTTGCTGTCCCAAACCTCAGAGCACCATTAAAAACAAGTCCAGTAATAAAGACTAAATATGACATCATGCAAAGGGGACCAGAATGAAACACTGTTTCTGTGTTGCTGGAATGCAAACAGAATATCGGAATATTTGGTTTTTTTTTTTTTCAGGTAGTTATGGAGGTAGCACACTCCTCCCACACAACGTCACCAACGAATTCCCGGAATATGGGACTGTGGAAGAAGAGGCCAAAACACTGGAAATGTTATCTGAGTTCCATGGAGAGGCTTTAACGTGTGCTTCAGTTGGCCAGGCGGGTGGCCAGCAGTTTTGTGAACCTCAGGAGAATGGCAGCCCCAGAGACGGAGCAAAGTTACATTTTGAGGGTTTACAAGTACTTTCCAAAGAGGAAGAACTGCCCCAAACAGTTGACAAGCTAAGTGAGAGTGCAAAAATCCCTCAAGATTTACAATCTGAAAAAGCACATAGCACAGAGAAGAATGCTTTTAGTTCGAAGATGCAAATGGAAACAGAAAGGAAGGCTGGCAGTATGTTTGAAGAGGCAGCCAGAGAGAAAGTTCTTGCAGGCCAAGAAAAACCTTCAGAAATGCCTCTTACATCTGAAGCAACGGCGGAGAGAAAATTGTACTGGATCACTGAAGAGGACTCTATGGTCTTAACTGTGGAATTACAGCCTGAGACCTCGCAAACTGCTGAGGGTGGCCCTGCAAAGGTCCACGAAATGTATGAAACAAGTTGCCATATTCCTTTGGCAGGGCCAGAGAGCAGTGCCGAAGGCGCTGCTGGTGCTCTTGGTGGGGCCTGGGCAGACTTTGAGCGGGAATTTTCTGTGTTTGACCCAGAAAAAGCAGGAAGAGCCTCTGAGAGGAGGGTATCAAAAGAGACAGCAGTGAGCAAACATGTAGAATTTCAAGGGGTCGAAATCCTTTGGATACAAAAAACAGAGGAGCAGAAGGGAATGGAGCACTCTGAAATGGATGGTGCAAAAAAGCATACATTCTCCATGATATCAAACTACCACACTCCATCTGCAGCCTCGCCTGAATTAACTGGTTTGCCTGAGCGCCCCTGGAATGTGTCCTGGGAGAACTTCAGACCTTTAGCTTCGCTGGCTGAAGGTGGAGAGGATGAAGTTTTTGTAACAGAAAAGAAGAACTGGGCTCAAGAGAGGTCTGTATCAGAGAAGGAAAGGTAAACCAAATCAAACCAAACCAAACCAAGCCTCTTTCTTCATGGGTGGGGTGGGGGGGGTGAGGTAACACAGTCATACTCCAGACACTGGGGCGGCACTAAGCAGCTTGTTGGAGATGGGCTTTGTAACTGAGGAAGGTATAGGCAGGGCTCTTGTTGTTTCAAGAGGAGCGGCCCGTTTCTCATGCTTAGTTTGATGCAATGAAACCTTCAAGCAAGCTTACATAGCTGTCAGAGTTGGATGCTTTATGCCCACCTTGTCTGGGTGAAGTCACATCTGCTAACATCCTTATAACCCCCTGACTGTTAGAGCAGTATGACAATGAAGCCAGTTACCTGAGGAGATTGTGGTCTCTCCCATGCTGGAGGCAGAGAGAGATGCAGCTGGACAACCATCTGTCAGGGATGCTTTAACTTGGAGCCCTGCATTGAACCAGGGTCTGGACCCTATGGCCTTCTTGATCCCTTCCACTTCTGTGATTCAATAATTCTGTGACTCCTGAGGGCTACCTTACAGCAAGGGAGAGTGGGCAAGGATATAACTCACTCTACTAATCTCCACTGTATGGACATAAAACTATGTCCTGGTTAGGGAAATCTGGTCCCATTGTCTGAAGACCTTACTGCAGACTTAAACCACATGGGCGCATTTAAATTACTGTATACATTTGAAACCCAAAGTATCTCTGAAGCGCACAACCCTAAGATATCCTTAGCATGCATGTTCAGCTTCAGGTGTCCAGGTTTCATGGCTTTGGCACTATGTTGCTGATGACAGATACACATCCTTTCACATTATTTCAGCATATTTTTTTAAATTCTTTTGGAATGATATGACATGTGCACAAAGCAGAGTACAGGATGACTCACCACAATCACATAAAATCAGATATTAGAACTCCCAAAATCTCGTCTATAAAGCCTTCTCACTAGCATAAGATATTGTACATTCATCCTAAAGAATCCAGAAGGGCCAGAGGCTTGTCAGAATTAAGGCTCAGGTATTTACCAAAGAAATGTTCCTTGGGCAAAGGCACCTGTCAGAGCCTTTCTGCTTGCAGGATACTTGCTTGAGAATGAAGGAACCTTGATGACGGAGACTGAAGGCCCTCCTACACCAAGTGGGAACTAACGTGCTAGATGCTGGTTCTTGGCCGATAGGTCTGTTAATGACTGAGGGCCTTGGCAATTGTCCAACCTTCCAACCCTTTGTACCAGCCACGAGGGGACCAGTTCTTGGGCATTACAGCCATTAATCTTGTGCAGGTGACGAGATATTGCCCCTCCTCTATTTCAGATATAACCACACAGCTAATCTTCAGAGTGTGTTGAACTGAGCACAGTGTGAAGATTCCTTCTCACAGTCTAATACCTGCATTCTTAACATTTAGCACAGCCTGTTGTTATTTTTATGAAAAACTGCAACAGAAAATGTGTCGGTATCATGTACTGAATGTACCAGGATGGCTTGTGTATTTAAAAACAAGGAATTGCCAGCTCTTGCTGAGATGTTCCTGAACTTCCTTTGAAGCATCAACTTGCTTTTCTTGTATTTCTTTGGACCCTTCTATCATAGCAACAGTAAAACACTACTGCCAAGCAGCAAAGCAGGCCGCTGTTTGAAATGCTAAGTACATCCGAAGTTGCGCCTTTCAGGTTATTCCAAAGTTGAGCAGAATGTTCAGCTTAGCTTCCTGACTGCAGGCAAGCCATGCATTAGAATGACTGAGAGCATTGAAAAAGCCTCTTCCTTAGTTTTGCAGCCAGAAGGTAGGGGGTTGGGGTTTAAAAGAAAACTAGGGAGAGAGGAGCTGGTTTATGGGACTATGTGGGAGGTGAGGGCCTTGGAATTATCTGTGATGACTGTGTGAAGGAAGTACAAAGCAGGACAGCACTGAGTATCTTTGCACTAAGGGATAATTGTAGTGGACAGAGACCATTTCATTTAGCCATCCCTAGCAACCATGTTGATTCTGTGCTTGGGTATTAGTCCCACACGTTTGAAGGGGACTAGCTTGGGAGTGGCTGGTTTAGGACCACTTTCCCCTGTATCAGCCTGCTTGCAATTGAAGATCAGCAAGAGGCCTTTCTCATTTGCCCGCCTGTGTGAGCAGAGATAGGTGGGCTCCCACACAAGAGCAGGCCTTTTGTGCTGTTTCACCACACCTCCAGCATAAGTTGCCTTTGCAGATTTGCCAGGCCCCATCATTTCAAGATTTAAGAAGGTTGTAAATGTATGCTATTTTACATGGGCCTTCCCCTGATATATCCAGTGCTTTTGCTGTTTTTATTGTTGCTGTTTTTACTTATTGTTTTTAAGACAGTCTTGGTGTCCAATATGTTTTATTATTGTACACTGTCTTTGAAAGGCACCTGCACTGAAAGGGAACCAAGAAATATTTTGGGGAATGATAAAGTGGATATTTTGACTTGCTGGCATCTTTTCTCTGAAACCGAGCTTCCAATGGGACTGATTTGGACACCATCCTGGCACACATAGTTTCTGTGATGGGGAGGTGCCACACGAAAGGTTTGTGAGTGAGCCCCAAGTCCATGAGGCATCTCCCCATCACACAACACAGTTTGGAAACAAACTGGGTGCCACTATGTAATGAGCCCCACCTGTGTGTTTGGTTGGCTGTGAAAAGACCAGCTGACCTTTATGAACAGACCCTTCTTTGGTAAGCATTTAAAGGTGTAGTGCCCCAATCAGCAGTCCAAGTTCAATGTGTGGTGGAGGAAAGTGTGTGCAGAGGATTCAGATGAACCAACTCTAAGACTCACAAAATACTCAGCCCACTTTCTTTGATGCTAGTAAACATAAGAATATATGTTTATAAGAGAGTGTGCTTGTAATACCCATACTGTATCAGACGAAAAACTTCTGTAGTTCTGCTGTAAGCTCAGAACTGCTAATCTTGTAACCCTTTGAGCTGAAGACAGCTGGGCAGCCATTTGTGATGAACTGTCCAAGTCTCAACTGATCTACTTTTGTCCCCAGTAGGATTATATGAACCGGGCGCAGGGAGTCAGTCAAGCTTTTAGTAGTCTCTGTTGCATTGATAAACACATTTCTTCCAAGAAATACAAGGCATAAGACCCTGTATATGGTTCTCTTTTGCTCATTCCAGGACACCCCAATTAAATTCGCACAACAACTCTGTGAAGTGGGTTATGCCAAGGGAGGATGCCTGACCAAGGTTAAGGGTGTCATTACTGAGTGGGGATTTCAACTAAGGCCTATTCAGTCCTATCACAGCTTTCTAACCCAGCT